GTTGCAGAGAATTTTACTAATTGAGGAAATTACACTGTAGTCGAAAGTCTCGACACTTACAAGAGACAACTTTATCTCTTCCTCTCTTTCTCTCTCTCTCTTTTTATCTCTTCCTCTCTTTCTCTCTCTATCGGAGAGTCGCCCAAGAACTAATCTCTATCCCTCCCTCCTTTTGAAACCTGCAAAGCCTCTTCACCTGTTCTCGTAAACCAGGCAGGAAGAGAAAGCCACTGGAGAGAAAACGTGCGTTCCTCCTTCCCTTCGTTTTTCGTCGCCTGTAGCCTTTGCTTTTCGTAAAACCAAAAATCCCTTTTTTTTGTTTTGCAATAGGAGAGGAAGTCCACGGTTTCATTTTGCTTGCATTTATGGTGGTGGGGCCAACCGCACCAAAAAGGCCAAAGTAAGAGGCGGGAACGGTTGGCAGTGAAGAAGAAAGAAAATATTTTTACTTAGCTTTTGCTTTTTCCTCCTATTTTTGTTTATTCCTATTTTGTAATGTTTGTGAGAGATGTATATACATCTCTAGCCTTTGTAAAGAAAAATAAGGCTCTTGATAGTTTTTTCATTGTTTTATCTTGTACATGGTATCGGAGTAAGGTTATGGTGTTCCTTCTAACCTTTATTCTTATTCTCTAAAGTCAAAGTTTTCACTTCCAGACTTTGTTCTTATTATTTAAGTTTAGGGTTTTCATTTCCAACATTTGTTCTTAATATCTAAGGTTTGTGTTTTCTCTTCCAACCTTATTTCTCTTGCCAAATTCTCCTTTTATTCACTATGTTTGAGTTATTTGATCTCCTTTCAAAAGAATCAATCATGATTAATTGCGAAAATTAGACTAAAGGAGAACTTTGGGTATTTTAAACATCTTATTTCTTGAACGAAAAAAAATATCATGTAGGCTTTTCTAAAGAGAACAAGGAAGATCAAACACTTTGTGGATCTACCTTTGAAACCCAAAGAATCAAAACTGTTATTTTAGGAAGAAATTGATTGTATTATCATGGCATGATTGTGGAACACCATGCTACTGAAAATTAGTCGGCCTTTTATGTTTCTATCCAAACAGAAATATGTTATACACCCGCTGAAAGAAATCAAGATGACATAGTGCAAGCAGTGTGAATATGTAATTGAATCGGAACAAAAATTCAACTTTTTCGAAAGAACTAGTATTAATATGAGACAACATCAAAGGAAATGAATTGGTCGACATATTCACTAAAGGATTTTGCAGCCTAACATTTAAAAATATCACAAGTAAATTTGAAATGGTGGATCTCTATCATCCAGTTTGAGGGGGCGTTGTATTTCTTCTTCAGTCATAACAAATAATTTAAGACACACGGATCAAAGCTTTGCATTTTTGAATTTGTTTACTTCTGACCCTCAAATAGCAAAAAGCTTAGGGCACATAGACCGAGGCTTTATGCTATTAGTCTCTCTCTCTATAACTCTCAGATTATAATTCGTGTGTTTTTCTGAAAGATCACTAACCCTTATTTATTTCTCTCGCTCTTTTGAGTTTTATTCTTATTTTGTAATGTCTATGAGAGAGAGAGAGAGAGAGATACATATATTTTTATGATCAAATTAGTTATTCCACTTACAAATTTGAATTAGTGTAGTCTTACCAATAAGAATTATGTATCTAATTAGTAAAGTTTAGAGAGTTTAGAGTTCATAATCGACAAATTAATATCGGCGAGTAGAATTGCAAAATTATTTATTAAATTTTTTATATGGCAATCTAGAATCGTGTTTGAATTTTTAGCTTGTTTATTAGCTCATTTAAATACTCGTTCATTTTTCATACATAAATCAAATACAAATTAAGTTCAAGCATTATGCAAATTAAACAGATCAAGTTCGAACACTGTATGAAAGCTCCACACAAGTTCGAGCGAAACAAGAACAATTTATAATTATACCAAGCCAAATTTAAACAATGATATACCACAATTACAACCCTATCACAAAGACAAATATATTAATAAAAATATAAATAACGAATCATTACAAGTGTGAAAAATGGTTTGAAATCATATTTACACCCTTCAAAGTTTATTTCTCTGTTTATTTGCACTAAACCATATGAATTACATTCTCATCCATGGAATCTCATGTGATTTTTACCATTAAAAGAGTAACTTTTAAACTATTGTTCACTTAAAAAAAACAAAAATGCAATTGGTCAAAAGTTGAGGGCATTTAAACAGATATACAAAATTTGATCTTTATTGTTGTTCCTGTTTGAAAGATTTACATATATACCATTCAATGCAATTGTATTTTATATCTAACATCTAAATTTTAGTTTTTTACATATATATGTCTTCTTAATTATGTTTCAAAAGATATATTATAATTTTTAAGTGTTAAAACAGTAGTTTTTTTAATGTGATATGGAACATTTGGGTCTTATTTTTGTCCTCAGAATCTACTAAAGAAAGCTGATGATTACAGGGAAAAAGGAGCAATTTTGTTGGATGATTTGGAAATTGAGAATGCAAGCATTATAGTGGACATGTTCAAAAGTGGAGAGAAAACAGCTCTCCACGCTGAGTTTAAGCTCTCAATCAACGTCTATCTCTCAGAAATTGAAATCTCCCCCATTAGATCCCTTGCAGATGCCACCGACTTCAACAACAAACACAGCGCTGAAGTAAGCACTTCCCCATTTATTCTGCATGTTCTCCAAACTTGCTTGAATTCAACTTTACTGCTAAGCATATCTTTATAGCCAACTTTCTAAAAACGTGAAATTTCATACCAAGATATGATTCAGTTTTGGCCTAATGGATGCAGGAAAGGATAGCGGAGTATGGTCAGGATATCTTCTTGGCCGCCCAAAAGGCAAACGGAATGGGTATAGTAGAGAAAAAGATTCTGAAGAGATTGGCCAAGTATTCTGCTAATGGATTAGAGAAGCTAATGAAGGAGAACAAGCTGGATGGCTTCGTAACTCCGAACAGCTTAGCGGCTTCAATCCTCTCCATCGGTGGCTACCCAGGAATTGTTGTCCCTGCTGGTTATACAAACCACGGCGTTCCACTCGGCATCTGCTTCGGCGGATCTAAAGGTTTCGAACCGAAGCTCATCGAAATAGCTTAGGCTTTCGAGCAGGCCACCAAGGTTCGGAAGCCGCCATTGACGAGGTCGGTAGCATGATCGGTCCCTCTTTAGAGTTTGAATGATTGAGCAGAGAATGTGAGGAATAATGGCTTATTGTATTTGTTATGCATTAATGTTGGCATATGTGTCAACCTTCTCTCTGTATTAGCTTTGAGTCCTAATTGGTAAAATACTATTAAAATTA